TAAAATATCGTTTCTTCAATTTTTTTCTTTATTATTTACTTGCACTAGCGCTAAGTACTTCGATGATCTACCAATACTCTTTAAACGCACGGGGCGTAGTGCTATCTGTCGGCCTCCTCTTGAACATCCGGGCCACCTACGGACTGACACGGTCTATGCTCATTCAGCGCTGTATGAAGAACGCTGCGTGCTATGCATCTCTTATGAACGAGATGATGTCAGATTTCAACTGTCACAGAAGTACACGTTCTCCTCCTCCTAGAATGTACGACTGGCACAATCTTCATTGCGCAGACTCTCGCTCAGGATGACCCCTATGCCCTGGTATTTCGTACGTCTTTCCTTGGGTTTTGCACATGTATATGCGGCGTATGCATGGGCGTAAGTCTCCCCTTCTCCTTCCCGTATCTTTTCTCAGCGAATTCAGGAAGCTGTGTGCTCTTGATATTATTGTGGGCACCCAGTTACTCAAACTGAGTATTTTTATTTGCTCTTATTGTTTTTTGTTTGTTCTCAGCTTAAACTTTATTGTAACTTAATAAATATGGTCACTGTAAAATTAAATTTTGTTTCTCACGAATTTTAATTTAGAGATTACTAAACCAGTTTTTAAAGAATAACGCCGTTGTTTAAATACCTCGATGGTTTTTGATCGATGTCACATCACTTACTGGCACCACGAATAAAATTCCTTATCGGCAGCCACTGCTAAAAACATAAACGACCGTTTCTGATGCAAGAAATATAAGGATATTTTATTGCACAATCGATATCGTATTAGCATTTCACGGCACGAATGATTGTGTCATTACTAGCCAATCGCATCGAGAGAATCGTGGCTAACGAAAGAGTCGAACACCATTATCAAATACCCGAGACGTCACAAGAAAGTTGTTTCGCAAAATTAAGTTTCGTTCTCTTATACATTTATATTGCTGTTACACAAAAAATAGCGTATGCAACTATTTTATAATGTTGCTTTATTTCTTTCGTACAAATGTGAAAACTAGCCCCTAACAACGCTCGTTTTCGAAACGTACTCATACAATAAAGCTCAACATTATAAACTAATAATTGCATAAACTGCGAATATCTCCACATGGCAGAAAGTAAAAGAGAATAATGTGTTTTACCGTGTCCTCCTTGGAGAGCTCAATCCAGATGCAAATAAATGATCATGATTTTCATCTATTCCGGACGAAGACTCTTTCCCGGATACAAATAAATGAGGCCATGCTTTTCTCTTTGCTGCACAGAGAATCCTTCCCGAAAACTAAAACATCACGGTCACGTATTTTACCTATCGCTCACAGAAAATGCTTCCCGGATACAAATAAATAAGGGTCATTTTTTCACCTATCCCGTACAAAGAATCGTTCCCGAAAACGAATAAATGACGTGGTCATATTTTTTATCTATCCAGCAAGGAGAATTCTTCCCAGATACAATAAATTAGTCATGTTTTTCACCTATTTTGAAGGGAAATCCTTCCTGGAAACGAATAAATGACGGTCATTTTTATCACCTTTCCTGCTTGCAGAACTGTTCCGGTTGCAAACAAATACTATATTTTCACTCTACCCTACCATTACAGTCTTTCTTGTTGCAATTTAGAAGGTATGTCTGTATCTTATAAAAACAGACAGAAGAGATCGCATCTCCAATGCAGTGAACAAGTAATACGTTTGGATGTTGCAGGAACCCTACGCACTTCGCTACAGCAGAGAGATCCCTTGCAATCTGGCGCCGCTTCCCTCTTTCTCACTCCGCGTGTCGGTCAGCCTCGTGGTGGCCAGGCGCCACCCGCTTCTGGCGTTTCTCAACTATCGGTGCGTACTCGGCGTGCTTCGCCCACACTAATTTTCATTTATACACCTCCATCATTTTAGACACAATTTTTATTGATTGATTGCTAGTGATTCCAGTCGCTTCAATTACTAACGTCATTATTTCCGTAAGTGTAGTGCATGTCTTCCCCTGTGAATGGCGAGATCCGGCGCCGACCTACCGTCGGCTAGCGGGGTTTTCCCCAACCAGGTATCTCCCACCAACGGGGCACAACCCTATCAGAGAAAAGCTCCCAACCGGTCATACGTGGTAGTGTGTGTAAGGGGTGAGGATAGGACAAATACGAGGAAGGAAAGATTGCACGCAGTCCGTGCTCTGTTTGTTAGAGTACTGCTCCAGCATTCGCCTGATGTTGATAGGAGAAACCACGGAAAACTACCGAT